TATTAGTGACCATAGAAGTTCATACTTATTGTTTATCTAATTTACAACTTTACTTATCAGTCTAATAATGTACATACCTATTAGACTTCATATCAAGTCACCTTGTTTCTATCTTATATCTGTATAATTACTATTAAAATCATATATCTACCAAACTAATTATCTACATTCTAAAAATTACATTTTTCCAGAAAACGAAACTTCGGAAATCTTTTCAGGAGCTTATAAACGTATCCAGAATGGTTTCCAGTTCAACACTGAGTTTCTGAAAGTACCGTCTGGGTTTCTGAGTACCCGTAAAAGGTTAGATTTTCAAGAATTCGGATTCAGAACAAAAAGTCTAGGAAACTCAGAAAGTATTATAGAAACTTTGAATAATATCCAAATATTCTCTTTCTCTTTTTTACATTTCGAACGTATGGTTTGCAAGTTTAGGACAAGGGTGGTTCGTTCTTTACCGCAACTATATTCATATAAACCTAAAGTAGCTTTTCTTCTTCATTAATATTTTAACGAAAAAGCGGCAGCCAGGAAGCATTTAACCAGTTGATTTCTTCTACTGAAAGGAAAGTCATACGTTGAGTGAGTAATTATAGTGTTATGTGTCATTATAAGTCAATATTCTTGCTTCTACTCTTTCTGAATTCTTGCCATTCAAACAAACGAGATGCCAATGACTAACTCTGGGCAGAATTTGGGAGTACAGACTATAGAAATTTTGGGAAAATTTTACGAGAGATCACTTTAAAAAAAGATGATATTGAGAAAAATATATAATTTATTTATTTCGTTTTATCTATTTTCTTTCTTAATGAGTGAAGATTCGTTTAACACCATTCATTGAGAAGAAAAAAACAAAGCATATATGTGCATCGAAAATATTACAGGTGGTTTTTCTTGAAAAACTTTCTTCAAAGTTCACAGATCATGTAGAACTCAAGTCAGATGAGCATATGCAAATGAATCCAAGTTATCGATTTGCTTGATGAAAAGTAGAAAGTGTTTAGTGTTTTTGTTTTTCAAACACATTAACGAAGCTCCAATCATAGTAGTCGATTTTCCGTGGAGGACCAACGACGTTTGTGTCCCGACTGTTTTTCAAAACTAACGACTTTTTTAAATAAAACTTGACAAAAGGCTTTCTGAATCGATAATTCTACAACTATAGATGGTATGACTAAAATGTTATTTCTGAGAACTAATATTGCTTTGACCGAAAAAACAAACTGGATCATTTTGATAAACCACCCATAGGTTCAGATTCTTCGCTCTCAGAAATTTTAAGTTGAGTTTTGTAAAAAAAAAAAAAAAAAAAAAAAAAAAAAAATTGCTATTTTCGAGAAACAATCTTGTCTTCACTAAAGAAATCGAAATGGATTGATATTATTATGAGTTCATCCATACTATTATCCTAGGGTGACTTCGAGAGGCTCGAAGACTTTAAAACTTCAGCTAACTTCAAGGCTCTTACTTGAAAAGATTTGATAATTTCAGGGCTTTGCATGTACCTAAAACTCTCACTTGGCAGACATGAAGATTGCATAATTTGGGACTTCGATGCACTTAAAGACTTTGTCAATGATTAAGTGTTAGGACTTCATACTGTTAGACGGATTCTTCAGGATTTGACAGCATTTATACTGTCAAGATTATTAGAACCTGATGTTTTACGCATTCAAATGTATACTATTAGAAAGCTTTTGGTAAGATCAAGAACGTATTTTCAAAAGTCGAATATCTGTTTGAATTGGCTTCTGATTTATTCTAATGGAAAATGCGCATAAGGTTTTCGGGGTCCTCAACTTTTTTGGTTACATTAGAGGGTTTCTGAGAGCTCAGAAACCTTGTTCTGGAAGTCTTCCATAAGTTTCCTAGAGTATGTTTTTCTTCGAGTGCACTAATTCAGTTTTCAAGAATGAGGAATAGATTTCGGTGAAAATCTCAAAGAGTGTAATCATTCATAAGGTTTATGTATCGTCGAAGTTTCATCATTCGATTTTTCAGTAACTATCTTGCGTAGGATGGAAGAACTCACTCAAACGAGTAGAATATCGAAAAGATAAATGTTGCTAATTTGTAAATATCAGCATTAAAAACACTTCATCTTCACCCGCTCGTCATCTCGAAGAAGAAACGTTCAGATTAGGAACAAAAGAGAAAATATGAGAGAGTAAAATAGAGAACGATTATGAAACAGAAATAACGAAAGGAGAAAAAAGAGGAGAAGAGCTACTTACTTGCTTGATTGGTGAAGGAAAATGGCATACAATTGCTGAATACAACAGTGTATTTATACACTCATTGAAAGAGAGAAAGAGAAAAAAAGAAAAAGAAAGAAATTGGATATTCCGTTATATATAAAAATGCTGCTACCTGATTCGAGTCGAGCTGACCTGATGCGAAGTCTAATTCTGGTGTATTATCAAGGCATTTTTGCTTCATGTCGATAAAGAAAAAAACAATGAAATAGAACAGAAAAGTATGTGATATATGCCGTCTTGCTCTATTAGACTTTTTCACGGTCTTTGATAGAACTTTTACATGAAAAAACATTCACAATATCTGCAGTGCCTGCAAGTCGCGCTCTGGTAGAAAACCATTAGACTAGCATAATCTCCAAAGCACTCTCTTTTTTCATTGAATTTTGATTGAGACTGATGATCTTACAGCAGGAGCTAAAATCTTTTCTCACTAACGCTCTAAATAAAGATTTGTCCATTCTGTCTGCATTGCCACCTTCATTCAGCGTTTTTCTAAACAGTATGTGGTGCAATCATGAACTTGGGTGAAGTCTGTTTCCTCTCCTTCCCTGGATGACGTGCTATGGCTTTGAGTTTCTAAATCACAATTGATATTTTTGCGCTTATTCACAAATCAATTATGGAATCCGGAGTCTTAAAATAGAACTCTTTTCAACATTCTAAAACCGAAGTGCTATTATATAAAACAGTCGTTTTGAAGAGTCGAGCACATGCAATTTGTTTGCGCTTACTTGTAAAAACTTTCTGTGTTGCTGCACCAAATCAAAATACACGATGAAAATAGATTCTTTTTCGTTCTTTCTTGGCGACGGGCAACAAAAATTGTGTATATGTTGTATGGCCTAATGTGAATAAATAGTAACGCATGCAATGTTTCTTTTCACAGTTACATACATAGAAGCCATTTTCTTCACCCTTCGGCATTTCTTCATTAAACAAAGTATTGTTCTGTTTAGAGTCATCGTGACAGTCAGAACGAAAAGTATAGGTAAATTGATTGGATTCTTTTTGTGCTGCGCACAACGAAAAACAACAAGCCAATTTTACTGGCAACAGTCGATATAAAGTATAAATAATACAGTAGAGATTTTTATTTTACAAATATAAGTGGGTATTTCGACATTTGTGAATACGATTATGTTCAGCAATAAGACATTATCTATGACCATGAATCTACTTTTATTCAAAAAATAAACAATAATTAATTGAAAAACTAATTAGAACAACATTATCTATGTTACCAAAACACAGCAATAACTATAATTCATATATTCATAACCAAATACAATAACAGTAGCCAATAACATAGTCTCCATGTAATCATGAAACGTATTTTAAACTTAGATAGATGCGTTTGTATTGAAGCATGACGGAAACACAAGTGTGGGTTGGGTGTGGGTGTAGATGAAGAAAATGTCCCACCCACACCCCACAATAACTATAATTCATATATGCATAACCAAATACAATAACAGTAGCCAATAATATAGTCTCCATGTAATCATCAAACGCATTTTAAACTTAGATAGGTGCGTTTGTATTGAAGCATGACGAAAACACAGGTGTGAGTGTGGGTATAGTTGAAGAAAATGTCACACCCACACCCACACCCACACACCCAAACCCCACCCCCACCCACATCCACACCCTTTTGCATGTTTTTCGAATATGATTAGTTTTACAAGGATTTCGTCTTATACATTATCAGAGAAAAAGACGTCCCCACTCCTCCTCTTTCGATTGACGGAAACCGCAGATCGCTAGCTATTGCGGTTGTCGAGTTATTGAGCTTACACCCACCCCTATTTAATTCTGGCACCGACAATAGTTAGAGAGCGCATGTTTTTACCATTAGAAAGAGCAAGTCGGGGGACGTCGATCTCTATAAAATGCATTAGGTTTACGAGTCTTTTGTATGGTTGTTTGCAGTCGAGTATCTTATCGGTTGTCTATTTTCATGAGTTTCCATGATAATTTAACATCTAATTGGACCAAAATGTAGCCTAAATCGTTCTGCATTTGTGTTAAAATTTTCAAATTTTACTATTTTATCCTTGATTTTTTTTCTTACGCCTTGATGTTAAAATGTGAACATTTTGGCACAAATGTAGAACGGCTTAGGCTATGTTTTGGTCTAATTAGATGTTAAATTGTCATGGAAACTCATGAAAATAGACAACCGATAAGATACTCGATTGCAAACAACCATACAAAAGACTCGTAAACCTAATGCATTTTATAGAGATCGACGTCCCCCGACTTGCTTTTTCTAATGGTGAAAACTCGAGCTTTATAACTAGAACCGTTAAAAAGTTATTCAAAAAATAGTCGTTGGTACTTCAAAAAAAATCCGACATTAGTATTCGTCAATTTATTTTTTTTCCAGCATATAGCTGAATGTCTCCTCTTTCGAATGGATCCTCAAAAGAATCATTTGAGTTGGTAAAGTTAGCATTAATTGAATATTTTTACGTTTAGGGGGGTCTTATAATTATGAGACAGCTGAAATTCAAAAGTTTTTGAATTTGTTCATTAATGCTAATCGATCGAATTGAAACCAATATGGCACATGATAAACTGTTACTAGGTGTCCATGGATATGACATTAGATTAGGAATGAAATCCTTTTTAGTTAAGCAAATTTTTATTGTTCTCAAAACTCGAGAGGGAGTCTTATAATTGTGTGACACCCTGTATATTATTTTATTTTATTAAATTGAACATGAAATATTTTTTTAAATGTTCATTAAGAATGAAATTCAAAAAAAGAAAAAAATTAATTTTTCTTTTTTAAAATTACTTGCTTTAAATAAACCCGAATGGATTTATATTTTATTTGGTTGCATTACATCTCTAATTAACGGAGGAATTGAACCAGCTTTTGCATTAATTCTTAGTAAATTGGTTTCAGTAAGTTATAATCTTGTTTTGAAAATGTATTTTCATGATCGAAATTATAATAAATAGGTATTAGACGAATGTAATTTATCTGAACACATTCGTAATGTTAATTTTTATATTATATTATTTATTGTTTGTGGTATAGTTATGTTAGTTACAATGTTTTTACAAGTATAATGAAGAATATTTATCAATTATTGATTAAATTTGTTTTGTTTTATTTTTAAAAGAGTTTCTTTTTTTCTATGTCAAGTGAAGGTTTAACATTTCGTCTTCGTTTTCGTGCATGTCAAACAATGTTAAAAAATAATGTTTCTTGGTTTGATCGAGCAGAGAATAGTACAGGAATACTTTGTGCACGATTATCAACAGAAGCATCAGCTGTACATGAGGTTATATATTTTTTGATATATTAATCGATTTATTTTTTGAAATTTTATTTTTTAGGCGACAGGAGTTTTATTAGGAATTTTTTTAAGAAGTTTTGCTAATTTAGCAATTGGTATTATTCTTGGTTTATATGCAAGTTGGCAATTAACATTATTGATGTGTATTTTTATTCCATTTTTAATTTTATCCGGTTGGTTACAAACCAAAGTTTTATCACGATTTGTTAAAATGGATTCTATTGCAATGGAAAAAGCCGCAAATGTAAGAAGAAGAAAAAAAATGTTTTTTTGTTGTTTTTTGCAATGGAGTATCTTTTATATAGATTGTTGCACAAGTAATACAAAATATTCGTACAGTTGTACAATTAACAGAAGAAAATTTTTTTCTTGAAAAATATAAACAAATTATTGATAAACCTTATAAGTAAAAGAATTAAATAAAAACAAAATATATTTAAAAAAAAAAATGTTCTTTTTTTTTTTAGAAAATTGAAACTTCGAGCACATTTGAATGCATTACTTTTTGCTCTTGCAAATTCAATATCATTTTTTGCTCAAGCAGCTCTTTTTAGTTTTGGAGGATATCTTGTGAGAAAAAATTATATCTTATTTGAACATATTATTTTGTAATTAATTTTTATCTTATTATTTTTTGTCATTTATTGCAGTTTTATATTCTAGAATATTTTCTATTGTTACATTTGGTGCTGTATCTGTCAGTCAATCATTTGCTATGGTAATTTGATTTTCCTTCCTCACCATTGGACAAAAAATTGAAAGACATATTAGAGAATTCGAGTCTTCTAATCCGATCAAGGAAAAACTCTAAAAACTTTTCTCTGAGATCTTTTCTGCTTTCACATTCAATGTATGTCGATAAAAGATATTCATTTTTGTCCAATAATTGCGGAATATTTCCTATTCATTAGAATGGAACCAGAAGGAGCATCGAACAGCATACTCTTTCTAAAATACTGTTGTTCTCTATATGTTATTATATTTTTTATTTTTCTCAAATAAAATAATAACAATTTCAGTAGAAAAGAGTTGGACGATAAGTGAAAATTCTAAAATCCAACTGTTCCATAAGATATTTTGAATTATTTATCAATTTTTTCTTTACATTCGACTTGCTATAGTTCTAAACTCAAATTTTGTACCGATTAGTCCTCGGATAAAGACATCGAAATGATTAAGTAGATTGGTAAGCGTATATAAATAAGCTTCTGATTAGAAACACTATCAAAATTTGACGTCACTGCTTATAATTAGCATGTTAATTTTGTGTAGAATCATCTTATGAATGGTTCCGAAAATTATGAATAGAAACTCGACTCTCGAAGAAGTACACTATATTCTAGGCAGACAATCTACTTCTTTTTACACAGGTTAATGTGGATGTTTTCGCACGCCTGAAACATCTTTGTCATGTTTTTAGTACAGGAACGCAGAGATCTGTGTTTTCAACAACTTTGATAGATTTTTGGGTGTTTCCATAGACATTAATGTACTATTGGAAGACGAAACTTCAGACGATTACAAAAATCTAATTGGATAAGCGTTGTGGTAATGACACTAGAAAAATAGATCATTCATACGAGAAGAGCCACATAAGTACATCATTACTCATGACTACATAATCTGATAAGCAGGCGTTTACTAGAGTACTTTTTGTAAAAACTGCAATATGAAATGTAAAATAATTTTACATTGAAAAACTTTTTCAAAAACTCTATGTAAAAGTCGTATTAGAAGACCCAAAGTCTTCTTATGCGGGAGGGGAAGATTCATTAAAATTTTTGCATTTATTTTAAATATTTAGGCTCCTAATTATGCAAAAGCACGATCTGCTGCAAAGAAACTATTTAAGTTATTTGATCTAGAATCTCAAGACCTTGATCATGTTCAATCAAGAGTAAGAAGAATTTTTGAAAACAAAATATGAATAAGTTTTGTTCGGTTGAAGAATGACAAAGAAGAAACGAAAGGTTTTGATGGTATTGAATTTAACAATGTTACATTTGCATATGAAAATCGATCTGATGTGACAGTTTTAAAAAATTTTTCCTTGAAAATAGAACCAGGTAAATTACAGCGAAGAGTTGAAATATTTTCCATTGAATTTTTTTCTATTTTATAGGACAACATATTGCATTAATTGGTGAGTTTTATTTTTTTATTATTTTTTCTTTCAAATTTAAAATCGTAAAATTAATTAAAGGTGCTTCTGGTTGTGGAAAAAGTACGGCTATTCAATTAATTGAACGATTTTATGATTATTCTCATGGAAGTATAGTAAGTCTACTGGTTGTTTTCTTTTTGTTTTTTCATCCTATATTACATTTGTTTGATAATAGATAATGAACTCGAAAGATATTCGACAAATGAATATAAAAGAATTACGTGCTAAAATGGCACTTGTTTCTCAAGAAGCAATTTTATTTGATGTTTCAATTCGTGATAATATTAAATATGGAGATTTAACAAGAAACATATCCGATGAAGAAATGATTCTTGCTGCTCAAAGAGCAAATATACACGATTTTATTGTTAGGCTACCAAAGGTTTGGAAACAACCCTCTTGGTTTTATTTTGTTTTGAAATTGAAATAGAAAATTATTAAAATTAGGGTTATTCAACAATGGTTGGATCTCGTGGACTTCAATTATCTGGTGGAGAACGGCAACGTATAGCTATAGCACGAGTATTAGTCAGACATGCTAATCTACTTTTATTAGATGAACCAACATCAGCACTTGATACGATAAATGAAAAAGTTTGTAGAAATAACTCGTAAAATTATTAACCATTTGTTGTTCTTTAGATTGTTCAACACGCATTAGATGAAGCGCAACAGGATTATACATCTATAACTATTGCGCATCGATTAACAACAGTTAAAAACTGTCATGTTATCTATGTGATTGATCGAGGACATGTTATTGAATCAGGAAATCATGAACAACTGATGAATCAAAAAGGTTATTATTATAAACTTGTGAAATGTTCACAAAAATAATTCATTTTAATGAATACAGCTTTTTTTAAAATAAACGGATGAAGAGAATGCGCGTAGGGGTGTGGGTTTGGGGGTGTGGAATGTGGGTGTGGGGTGTGGGGTGTTGGTGTGGCTGGGTGTGGATGTGTATGGGTGACGGTGTGGGTGGGTGGGCGTGGGTGTTGGTGGGGCTGTGGGTGTTCATGTTGGTGTGAGTTAAGGGGATACTCACATACATACCCACATCCATACAGACCGTGACAGATGCTGTAGGAAGCGTGCCCCCTTCCGTCGCAGACTGTAACAAACGCCCTAGCAACCCTCCTCCGCTCCGCCACAGACCATGACAAACATATATATTGTGAGACGCTTGATCATGCTTCACATTTCAATCTCGCAGAGATTGTGCTAACAGCTTTTTTAAAGTTAAAGGGCCGTATCTATCCGCAGCCGCCATGAACATTTCTGTCTTCACTATAGGCTTTGAATTTTTTAGATGAATGATTGCTAGTAGCCAGGTAGCCAGTTTCGTTCTTTGATCGAAAACTTTCACACACCTAGCTTCTATATTATAAAGTGTATGTTTGGTACTAAAGCATAAAACATAGTCTAAAAGTTTGCCTTCATTCCAATTGAAATTCTTTTCATCGATTTTAGCTTTTTTCAGTTCAACAAAAAAAAACTGATATTTAGGACATTCATTAACAGAAAAACATTAGATAGTCAAGATGTTCTTAGAGATTTTTATAGAAAAAAAAACGCATCTCTATCGAATGAATCTAATTGAACGGATATGTTAAGTGATTTTTCCGTATTTTCCTAGTTCATTGAATAAATGCAGTAATGTAATGGGTATATAAATTCGCAAATATTTGAAACTTGACATAAAATACACTAAGATAGAAAATAGACTCATTGAACCTGTGTTTTAATGACATATATTTTTAAAAAAATGTTAACAGAAGAACAAAAAAAAATCATCTATGAATATCCATCAATAATGTTTGCTTAAATTGATGTTTTAGGTCGATTTTTAAGATATTCTGCAATTTTTGGCTGTTTTTCAACTTCTTCTCGATTTTGTTTTAATGATGGATAAATATCTAAACAATTTTCATTAATTCCAAGAATAGTTTCGAAAAAATTATAAAAATATAAATCTGCCCATGTTAAATGATTACCAACGAAGAATAAACCACCATTACCAAATTCCTTAAGTAAAACATCGAGATTTTGTAAATGTTTAGGAAGTTCTTCACTAAAGAATTTTTTACTAAGTTCTTCCCTTTTGGCATCATCTTGTTCATCAAAAACTGGTATTAATTTTGTTATTAAATCTTCAATTGTATCAACAACAGCATCAACTTTGCCTTGTTCAAGATTATTTCTACCAGCTAATTGAAATTGTTTAGCAAGAAAACGAGCAATAGCTTTTGATTGTGGTAATTTTGTACCATCAAATTCAAGTACAGGCATTTCACCTAATGGCATTTTAGCTTTATGTAATAACCATTCATCATCTTCGTAACGAATATCTTCATATTTTTGACCACCTGCAGCAAATATTAAACGAGATACTTCACCACGACCACGATTATTAAACTAATAAAGTTTGTATGTTGACATAAATGCTGTTAGAACGGAGATTAAATGATCAAAGAAAAAGAAAATGTTATATGTAAGAAGTGATATAAAGAGAAAATGTGGCACATGTATTAATATTTATTTGCTTTTCTTTTGCTTCGTCATCATTACATGAATACCTAGAATAAGGAAAAAAAAACAAAAGAAAAAGTTATATCAGTATAAATTTATCCTTAATAAAAGAAATCTACTGTTTTATATATTAAAAATAGATATGTGTTTTATCAAAAGATTAACGAAATTTCGATTTCAAACAAAGACTGAAATGAATTAAAATAGTTACATTTATTTTAAATTAGATTCAATCTATCATCTTTTTGAATACAATATATCATTTTAAAACTTAACAATTCGATATAAATATATAACAGTAAAATTAAAATAAATATTGAATAATTGAAAAACATTCAACTTTCTTTTGTTACTTAAGAAAAAAAAATTACAATAAACAAACATTTTGGGTGAGAAATAGCCGTTTGATTATTTAGAAATCTATTGAATTAAATCTACAAATTAATCTTTTATCAATTAGATGTTAAGAAATCAACATAGGATTACTCAGAATATTAAGATCTGTTACATAACTCTAGCAATCAATATATAATTCCCAATGCATTGAAAACGATTGTCTTCATTTTATAATTAAAAAACGGTCTTGAGGGTGTGGTGCAGACCTGCTACCTTTTAAGCTCTGAAAAGCAGAAAATATGTTTTTAATATTAGGATATGTTTAAGATTTGATTCACTATAATAACAATAGATTTTTACAAAGAAATCTGATATTTATTGACCAAAACCAAGAAAAAAAGACTTAAATAAATAAATATAGTTATTGAATATGTTGTTTTTTTTAAATGTATATTTTTCATCTGATTTGATGACTCTTAATAATTCTTCACTATCTAATATATGTTTATATCATTCAGTATATGATAAAGTAAAATTTAATCGTATTTTTAATTTAGCTGATATAACTCTGTTGTCGTACTAAATCTTTCATCATTTATTAAATGCTTCATTTGCGAAAATGTTGATTCGACATAAACATTACTGCAAGGTAATGAATATAAAAAAACAAATAAGCTTCTTAAAAAAAAACTGTTGATTACAAACTGCACATGCAGCCTCAGACGAATCCGACTTGTACTCTTTTAAAAATCGCTGATATTCAACGATTTTCAACCATTCTCGGTTGAAAATACCTTTCTTCAATCTCTTTTTTTCCGGTTCACGTATTGATGATGCTGGTAAATTTTCAATAGAAACTAATTCTTCTTCGTTATCTTCATCACCAGTAAGTCTTTATGCATCTGTTATACTGCTAATCATAATTATTAATGAAGTTTACCAAACAAAACCAACATGTTGACTATAAGGGTGGGTGTGGATGTGAGATATGGATTGGTCTTCTCTTCAACAACACCCGCACCCTCATCAAATGTATTTTTGGATCTTCATTTGCATTCAACTCTTATGTCTCGCATTGTGTTCATTTGCCACCTTCATTGTAGCACTTAGCATCTTCATTAGTTGTATCTTCAGTAGTGATTCTGACACTACAGGGACTGAAGTTAGTGAACTCCGTCGTGTAACTTTCAATCCAGATGCCAATATCGGTGAACAAGTATTATCTTTTATTGAATTCTCACAATGTCAAGAAATTGTATGGTTTTTATTAGTGCTGTTAAGTAAGTAGCATTTATTCACAGCTCGGTCTCGTTGACTTCAGCCTTTTAAAAATTCACACAAAAACAAAAGACATACGATATATATAGAAGACAAAATACATTTCTCGCTTGTTTAGATATAAATGAATAATTTCCCTCGTTCGTTCAAGTGGCAGCTCCTATAGAGAGTCTGGTGATAAAAAAATATGTTCTTAAATGTTACTTTTTTCCAGATAGGTTTTCAAACTTTTTTGCATAATACAAAGGTATCACGAGACGTTAAGTGGCACACAGGTGCTCCAGGTTGTTTGCGTATAATTTTCCTGGATATATGATTAGGATCAAATTCGTTTGTTTGATAGTGACATATAGCAATCATTTTTACACCATTGTGAACTAATTTGTTCGCAACTGTAACTTGATATGCTTTTGTTCTATTTTTTGAATGGCAAACAAAAAATGGTGAACAAATATTGTCTAATGGCTTGTAATCGTGGCAAACAACTGAGATATCTTCGCAACCTTTTATAACATTTGAAGATATTGTTGTTGTATTAAATGTTTTTGGAAATGGTCATTGGTCTATTTTTGTATCTGGATGCCAAACTTGAATTGTTGTTGTTTGTAACATGTGTTCACTATACTTTATGACATCTGTATAATCATAGAAACAACCAAATTTTTCAATTCTATGAATTTTTCTTCCACATACAGGAGTTTTTTGTAGATCACATCTTGTCAATTCATTTGTTAACGAATAGTTGGAGATCTGCATTTGTCCTCGGACACCTCCCATCAAAATAATTTTATTAGCAACAAAATATTCAGGAGAATGATACCATCCAATACATTCATCCAGGCATTCTTTAGATATGGGCAAAAGATTTGTTAATTTGGATTTGCTCCAACCGCCAAAGAAGTTTAGGGTGTGGGTGTGGGTGTGATTGTGAGTATGAATGAAGAGTCGGCTAATACCCACACCCATACTTCACTAGAGCTCATCGGTTCCAAGCATTTTTGGATCCGAACTCGATGAGTAGAAATTGTTATATTCGGATCCGATCAATAAAACGTTTTTGGACGCGGACCTGAATTCTGTCGATAAAGCTTTTGAATTCAAGCCTGGTTGATTAATATTTTGTGAGTAGTGCCCATCGGGTCCAAAAATTTTCGAACCCGGACTCGGTCGATTCAGAATTTTCAGGCTCGAACCCAATGGATTCTATACTCTACCCCCCAGACATACATAATGGGGTGAGAGGAAGTTTTATTTATATTCAAGTAATCTTCACCATTCTAAAAAGAAAACCAAATCAAGCCATGACTAGATATTTTGAGTTTGTTGAAGAATCGTTTTATATGCTTTGATGAAATAAAAAAGAATGAAGAAATTTATTATATACAAAGTGATCTATACTAGTCCTTTTCGAAAGAAAAATCTAAGATTTCAACGAATAATAACCTAGCAGAATCTCATCGATGAACTGTGTCTAATTACAGTGCATTGAAAGTGGACGAAATTCTCATTCGAATGAGTATCATTCATTCAAAATAAATAGCCGTTGATTCATAATGAATAAATTGTTTTTCAGTCTTCTTCATAATTCCATATGAATTAAGACCTCCCCTCTTAAAAAACCGATCTCAGTCCAGGTACATTCAAACTGGCTGAAATTTTCAGAATATATTAGAGCTGTAATGGAGGAGCTCTGATACAACCTTCATCCCTATACCATGACGTTTAAGCGAGATATTCACCAAACAAGGGTCAAAAATATCTCATTTTGTGTGGGTGGGTGTCGACGTGGGGTGTGGATGTGGATGTGAATCTGTGCTTAAACCATCCACACCCACACCTGATCTTATTCAAGAAGTTGTTATTGAATATTTTTCACGATCGAAATACAAATGCTTTAGATACTGCTTTGTTTCGATGTCGCAAATGATTTTGTCATCCGAACTGTCTTCTATGATAAATAATTGGAAAGAAATATCGTCAATAAAGTATGAAAGAGTTTCATTTTGAAGTATATATATATGCTCCTGCAATCCGTACGCTTGAATAAAATAAAATGTCAATTATTTTATCGAACTGATAATATTTCATAGAAGCTATACTTCATAATAGGAAACTTCTAGCGTTTTCTTTATTTTCTAAGTCGAGAAAAAAGTTAACTTACATGAGTTCTTTAGCCTGGTTGCATTAATACAAAATGTCTAAGGTAAAAATATCACCAGAATAAGCATCTGTTATAGTTATTTTTTGCATTTAGACCAACTTTTATTTGCATTGTTGCATTTCACTTTTTAATTTTAATTTTCATGTTTCGTTTTTTCTTAATATAACATTGTTATCATTATAAGCATAGAATTCAATTGAAAATAAAGTTGTTCTGACTATCCATTATGTCTATAGAAGCAGGTCATAACGAAATATTATATGTCTTGATCAACTCACAAATATTGTTAGTGCTTACTTTCTAAAATTTTAACTTGAAGCATTGACGCTTTTTGTGTTGATCATATAATAGCTGCGGCAGATCAATGCATCACGATACATCATCATTGACATATGAAATAAATATACAATTTTATCTGCACAAAAATCAAAAACTGCCCTATTTCAAAACATTTACAAGCGTTTTGCAGCCATTCACTTTTCGATTATCATTGAGTGCCTTTCTTCGCTACTGAGGTCTTTAATGGAAAATGAAAGGAAGCTGCAAACATTCGACTTGAAAATTAAAACTACTATATAAGTAATTTCGAAAAAAGCTTATCACCTTCAATAATAGAATTAGCATTTACTTTTATTTTCTCTTCATAGTCAAATATGACCAAATGAGTCAAGATCTTGTTAAACAAAGTCTATGAGTTCGAGATTTGGTTCTTCATCCTATAGATAGTTAATCAATTTTATCTTTTCTTTCCAGAAATGCAGTTAGCTCATCACAAATAAAATTGACCTATTCAGTCTGCTAGATATCATTTCCTGCAAAAATTGAACAGATAAAACTAAATTTCCTGGTGCGAGGTACCTTTAGTGGGCTTGTTCGTTCACATATGCATCACGAAATATGTTTCATGGCAAGTTATTGAGTTGAGATGCATGAAGGTATATAATATCGACGAACAATAGAAACAGATACATCAATATTCGAAGTTACATCAACAAAGAAGCTCTGATTGACTTGATCACATTACTGATGGAAACTAACAATGCATTTATCGAACTCATACAAATTAGAAGCAAAATTTCCATTATAAGATTCAAATTACTTTCAAATCCAACATATCTTTATATCACTTTTGCGGTTGAACTCTTCTTTTAGATTAACTAAATTCGAATTATGAATAAAAACATCTCATGAGAATACACATCATCGGACGAAAACATTTATTTTTCCAGAGGTACTTTTTGCGCGTAAAATATATCGACAAATACATGTAAGTGAGTTAAGTAGAAAAAAAGCAAACAAAGAATTAATAGTACATGTGTGGATTTATAATTTCCACCTTAATAAATACAAGTTTTGGTAAGGTACAAGTAGAAAGGCAAAATTAACGAAGGTTGCTTCACTCAGTTAGTAAGAATTAAGATCATAAATACTTTTATTTACAATGAAGTGTTTCATGAACCGAAAAGAGAATTTCGAGTTTTTCTAAGTGTCAAATGTTTGCCAGAAAGGTTCTTCAAATGCAGCTTTGTTGAGCCATACTATCACTGTATCATGCTTAACATGGTACAAAAGTTTAGTTTGACGTTGTAGTTCAGAGTCCCATTTTTTTGTGTCATAATTACCAAAACAATTCCGAATATTGTTGACGATTTTGAAAGAAAGACTACGTAGATATATCAAATGTTTCTTCAATCTTGGAATATTACACAAACGCGATGTATTGATTGTTAAATGTTCTACATGAGGAAAGCATTTGGCCATCAAAACAATTTTCGTTTCGTCAAATGGGTGGTTAGAATGAGATATATCAAGGTGTTTTACACAACTCATTTTGCTCATGAAAGTGTATACATTTTCAAAAAGTACATCGAAGCTTATATACAGGAAATTCATATTTGTGAGACATGCAAGGAGTTTAGTTACTACGTCCGTGTTTTTTTCTGAGCATATGATGGCGAGTTGTCTAATTTGGGAACAGTTTGCATGTATTTTAACCCATTTGAATGTCGAACTGTTCATATTATCCACTATAAGGCACTTGACATTTTCAAAGTAGTAATGACACAATTGAACACGGCTCTTGTCAATAAGTCTCAAATTTATGCTTTTATTGACTATCATAAGATCATTATTGACAGTCCGGTTAGGTGCTATCCAACATTGAATAACGGTTCGATCAAATTCATATCGTATATGGTGCTTCATCTTGTCTATATCGAGCGTATTAAAATGCGTAACTTCATGTTGGGTAATCATTATATTGAAGTTCTTTTTCGCTAACCAATATGAGTTTTGAAATGAAGCGAGAACATTATGAAGACCAACTTTTTCTACACGAAATAGAGTTGTTCGAAGAATAAAATGAGTTAATAATGGTAACGATGTTTCTAACAACATCTTCCATGCATTTTCATCAAGAAGTTTACTGTGTGCTTTAATTTCAAGATGTTTTAAAACTGGCATACAATTAAAATATTCTCTTAAGATATTCATCGTTATTGGACTATCATGTTCAAAATATAAGATTAGGGTACGAAGGGTAGACATTGATGTAATATTTTTTTCTATTTCATCATAATAAGGATATATTATATTGATTAAATCAACATCAAGATATTTAAGACAAGGAGTGCTTATGAAAATATATTGTAGATCTTCAAATTTACAATAGATACCAGAAACAGTCAAATGTTCAATATTTGAAGAGACATTCGCCAAATCACTCCAATTTACAGAACTCGAAACGCTCATAAGTGTAAATCGTTTCAGCGATTTTAAGCGAAAAAGATCGATAATAACATTTCTCAATAATAATCTATTGTTTGTACTCATTGCTTTGATTGATAAAGTTTCAATCATCGTGTCTGCTAACGACTTAAGAGCTTTTTCAACAATGTTCCAATCGAGAGCTTCATCATTATAATGAAAATAAAGTGTTCGAAGTCGTTTAAATGCTGCAAATGATGGAAAAAAAGATAAAAAAGCATATACTTGACCAGGTGTGTTTTCTTCTGATATGGATAATTCTTCTATTTTGTCGATATAGGCTGGTAAAAAATCCATACACAAATGAAAATCATCTTGATGACATTGAATAAAATCAAAATGAAGTCGTTGACATTGAATAATGAGTGAATCAAATCGTTTATTGAGTTGAAAGCTAAAAGCTCTTAGTAGATCTACACCATTAATATATTTCTCAATAATAGTAGCTAATATTTCGTTAGGAAGTGATTCAAGTTTAGAGACTGACATCTCTTCGAATAAAATGATAGTAAAAATTGACAAGTAATGTGAAATAGATTTTCCAATGCAGTTGTATTGAATTAATTTTTTCCTGAAACAAAACAAAAAAATTATCTGAGAAAGAAAAAACATATTTTTAGAATAATGTCGAAATCAGAAGTCACATTTTATTATATTTCTTTTGTCAATAGAGTGTACTTTGGTTTGCTGTTCTTTCGATATCAAGAAAAACGTGTTAGACATGCGTGAAAAATGAAAATACTTTTGCATGAGTCATTCTAGTAATTACCAATAAATGTTTTTGTAATAAAAACATCAAAATAGCGAATGAATCATAGTGAAAAAAAAAGAAATTTCTATTGTCGTTTATTTTGCAGTGATGCTTCTCTATTGACTCATTGTTAGTTTGATAGGATTATTTTATCTGAATTGCGAGTATTTCAACGAAGACATAAGAAAATTGGAAATGAGATTTTTTTCTCGATAGTTGCATTCAATAATACATCTCGATGTTGCTATGAAAATTCCAGTATCGAATCATTACTTTTGACATTACTGCAATTTCTCAATACTAATATTAATGTAATAATTCATTAGAAATATCAAAAGTCTCAACTTTAAATCACATAAATTTTTAGAAGTTACTGACAAATTACAACAATATTTATTTGTGTTATAGATATCGGGTTGAGTTGAGATATTCACCTTTCACTTACTAATAAATATTATATTCCAATTAAGAATTTTTCAAATTTTTCAGACATACATCTCACCTATGAAATATCACGAGAACGTATGAAAAAAAATAGACTTTCAGGGTACAATATGATAAGTTCACACAGAATAAACATAAGACAGTTCGTTTAAGTGTAGGCTACTCGATGATTAATGAGTTTTTAAGATGTAAGAGGACAAGTTGTTCTGATCTCACTGTTGTGTAATTCATGAATTGGAGACTTGCGACACCAATTTACCAGAGTGATCAATCTGACACTGATGTTCATTTTTCGACGAAGAGACATAAGATTACTACGAATGCATCGAGAATGTTTCTTGAGTAAGATTAAAATAGGAAAATAAGAGTTTCAAAAACGATTGGACATCTAAACAAATGAATGTACGAAAACTTATATCCGTATATTAAATATCAATGGAATCAAAATAAATTTTCCTATTCCATTGGTTCAGCACGATTAATCAATGAGTTGTCTAGATTTAAATATCTTGAACTAAAAAATTTGAAGCGAATACATACATCTTCTTTATCAGGGACAAAAATATCGACAAAGTAACACGATAGATGATACTCTCGTCTTTGGAGTGTTCTATAGTTAGATCTAACTCAAAAAATAAAATAGAGACATGGTTAAGTTTGATACATTTGAAAGACGTATGGTGGAATTGGACGTGGATGAATAACTGTGGATAAAGAGAAAACTCACAGCTACTCATAAGGTTATGAAACATCGGAAATTGATTGCGTTTTGAAACTGATAATGAAAGTTTTGTCTTCAATATGAACGAATTCGATAAATGCACTGTGAATTTCTATGGATGACATGATCAAGCCAATCAAAATTCTTTTGTTCATGTAACTTCAAAGAAACTTTACTATACACCAATGATGAATATAAATGACATCACATTATGGAAATATTTCATTGTCTGATGAAAACATGTTATTATAAGAGGAATTTCCTGCACCTAACAAATATGACGAAACCGTCGAAAATAATTTAAGGAAAAAAAAATCAAATAATGAGTTGTATGTATGTGGATTTAGTTTTTGTTTACATAATGATGCATTGATTTTCTAGAATAATAAATGTGATTATGGATAACTTACATGTAGAAATGAAAAATCAATATTCGTCATTCATTTATTTAGTTAGAAGCAATATTAAATAATCTTATTTATAATCAAGTATCTCATAAAAAAGAAGGTTTTTGTATGCTGCTAATTGAACAAAATTAAAAAACAATTTTAGCCTTTTTCTTTTTCTGAGTGTCAGAATCTTCAGTGATTCCTGGACTATCCAAAGTTGTAGTTTGGATTGATGAAGTTGGTGATTGTGAAGGTGTGACGGCAAATATTTGCCAGTAGGATTCTTCAAATATAGCTTGATGGATCCAAACTGTCACCGTGTTGTCTTCAATACGGAATAAAAGTTTAGCTGTTCGTCGCAAGATATAGTTCCATTTTTTTCTCTCCAAACTGTTGTAAAATCGAGAACCAGTTTCCGCAAATTCAAAAGTAAGACTGCGAAGATGTACTAAATATTTCTTCAATAGTGGAACATTATATAGGCTTGATGTATTAATGTTTAGATGTTCGACGTAAGGAAAGCACTTGGTAATAATAACAATATCTGCTTCGTTGAATGAATGTTGAGAAAGAGAAATGTCAAGGTGTTTTACATGATTGCTTTTGCTCATGAAAGCATCTATATTTGCCAAAAGTACATCGAAGCTTATATGAAGCAAACTTATATTTGTGAGACATGGAAGGAGTGCAGTTAATCCATTGTTATTTTTTTGTATATGTACAATGGCAAGTTGCCTGATTCGAGAACAATTTACATGCGTTATCACCCATTTGAATACCAAACTATCCATATTATCCACTATAAGACACTTTACATTGTTAAAGTAGTAATGACATGGTACCATAGTATTTATGTCGCGAAGTTTCAAGTTTACATTCTCATTTACCATCATAAGATCATTACTAATTGAGGGATTGGGTGCAATCCAACATTGAACAACAGGTTGATAAATGTTATATTTGTCATGGTGCTTCATCTTGTGTATGTCAATACTATTGAAACCCGAGTGTTCATGTTCCGTTATCATTAAATTGAAATTCTTCTTCGCTATCCAATATGAACTTTGAAACGAAGCAAGCAAATTGTGAAGATCAGCGTCTTCTATATCAGAGTTAGTCGTTCGGAGAGTAAAATGAGTCAATGATGGTAATGATGTTTCCAGCAACATCTGCCATGCGTTTGCATCAAAAAGTTCACTATGTGCTATAACGTCAAGACGATTTAACACAGGCATTGAATTAAAATATTCTGTTAACATATCCATGGATATTGACCTGTCCCAAGAAAAATAGACGACAAGTGTACGAAGTGCCGATAATACTACAATATTCTTGTTTAACAACATTTTCAGTTCATCAACATAGAGATAATCACTATCGGTCAATTGAATATTAAGATATTTAAGGCGAGGAGCACATTGGAAAATATATCTCAAATCTTCAACTTTAACATGTATACCAGATATAGTCAAATATTCAATGTTTGATGATACATCTGCCAAATCCTCGCACTCTATATAGTCCAAATTGCTCATAAGGAAAAATCGCTTCAGCGATTTTAAGCGAAAAAGATCGACGATAACAGTTTGCAATGGCGACTCAAAGCCGGCGTTCATTTCTATGATCGATAAAATTTCAATGGTCGTTTGTGATAATGAATTAAGAGCCGTTTCAATGATCTCCCTATCCATACCTTCACTGTCAAAATGAAAATAAAGTTTTCGAAGTCGTTTAAATACTGCAAATGATGGAAAAAAAGATAAAAAAGCATATACTTGACCAGGTGTGTTTTCTTCTGATATGGATAATTCTTCTATTTTGTCGATATAGGCTGGTACAAAATCCATACAAAAATGAAAATCATCTTGATCACATTGAATAAAATCAAAATGAAGTCGTTGACATTCAATAATGAGTGAATCAAATCGTTTATTGAGTTGAAACCTAAAAGCTCTTAGTAGATCTACACCATTAATATATTTCTCAATAATAGTAGCTAATATTTCGTTAGGAAGTGATTCAAGTTTAGAGAGTGACATCTCTTCGAATAAAATGATAGTAAAAATTGACAAGTAATGTGAAATAGATTTTCCAATGCAGTTGTATTGAATTAATTTTTTTCCTGAAATAAAACAAAAAATTATCTGAGAAAGAAAAAACATATTTTTAGAATAATGTCGAAATCAGAAGTCACATTTTGTTATATTTCTTTTGTCAATAGAGTGCACTTTGGTTTGCTGTTCTTTCGATGTCAAGAAAAACGTGTTAGGCATGAATATAAAATGAAAAGATTTTTGCATGAGTCATTCTAGTGATTAAAAATAAATATTTTTGTCATAAAAACATTAAAATAACGAGTGAATCATATTGGAAAAAAAGAAATTTCTATTGTTGTTTATTTTGCAATGTTTTTTCTGTATCAATTCATGGTTAGTTTGATAGGATTATTTTATTGGAATTGCGAATATTTAAATGAAGACAGTCATAAGAAAGCTAAAACAATATTGTGTTTTTGAAAAAAATTCTGTTACGCATAGTATTGACTTGTGGGTTCATCACAGATTTACCTGTTTCAAGTGAAATTTATTCAAAACAAAATATCTTAATACTTAATGCAGTTATAGGATCAAAGCATGGACCACAGTTTTATTTGAAATGTCTATACATGTTCTTGAATGTAGTCCCTCATTGTTTCTTTTTTGGGCAAAGCAATCATTGATACATGTTAAAATAAAATTTGTCACTAGTTATCGCGTCAGAGACTACTACGAAAATGAGTCTTCATTTAACTGTTAACGTAAGTCTTTTTAACCTGAATTCCTTCTCTATTGGGTTTTGGTCGAGAATGAATTGCCTGGAAACGATCTGATCGAAATCAGATGTACTCGAGACTGCTAGATCTCAACATTTCATTGCCTTGAACTTTAGAAATAGATTTCACTAATTCAAATCTAGATGAACAAATGATATACTTATTCCCTGTCGCACTTGACTGTGTTGTACATTGTGTCGATAAGTACAAGGCACTCAAGTAATTTTTATGTACTGTTTATATATATATATGAAACAATTGATGTCTTGACAACTTTTGAAAAGTTAGTTCTCACTCTACTTGTTGTACATACTGAAGACATGTTGTTGATATTAATAGCGAACTGAATTAGATTAATAAAAGTAGAGTATA